TGATGCCTGTTATGGTTAATGTGTGTCTAACTTTCTCTCTTGCTGTTATGAGACATCAACATATTCTAGCGTACTTGCTACATTTGTACAGAAGCAGTATTGTCTGATGGCCTGAGCATGGTGGTGGAAGCCAGAAATGTAAGAATTCTAAACCCTGGTCTGCCAATTACTTGCTGTGTTGTACTGGAACATTCATGTAACATCTTTGTTGCATAACTGTGAAATGGGAATAATAATCTTTACTCACCTACTTCACAGGGAAGTTGGGAAAATACATTAGTTCATGTTTGTTCAGCACTTTGGAATATAAAACACTATCTAAATCTTATGAATTATTACTACAAATTGTCATTTTTATTCATTCTCATGTCATTCATCTTGTCTTCTATCATTTTCTCTGTGAGGTTTTCTGGTTGTTATTTTGTTTATTTCACTGTGATTATTTTAATATTAGATTGGATTACAGAGCTGTTATATCAAATAATATGTTTGAATTATTAATTTAGGTGGTGGGTAATAGCTGTCCCCCCAAATCTATCTGTAATTTACAAAGTTGGGAATAGATCTAGCTACCCCTGATATCAATAGAGCAGGAAACAAGCCCTATTTCTTTTTTCTTTGAGTATTCTTCTTCCCTATATTCCATCCAAAAAATCTAATTACAGCAACTGTAAGCCCCCATCACTGCAGTATATGGGAACTTCAAAATATCTCTGTCTTTACTGAATGTTGAACATTCCGTAAGACAATGAATACTTTTTTTCAGAAAGGAAGACAAACATGAATTATCATATATTATTTACAATGTTGTTGTAGCCGTGTTGGTTCCAGGATATTAGAGAGACAAGGTGGCTGAAGTAATATCTTTTACTGGACCAACTTCTGTTGGTGAAGGGGACAAGCTTTCCAGAGGCTCAAAAGCTTGTCCCACCCACCAACAGAAATTTGTCCAGTAAAAGATATTACCTCACCCACCTTGTATCTCTCATGAATTTTGAATTGAATCCAGATTAAAATTAGAAAGAAACAAACTAAATTAGACAACAGTAATTGGGAAATATGCATCTGACTGAACAATTTTCTTCATAATTCCTTTGCTGCCGTGGTGCTATAGTTATGGCACATACATCCCAAAAAACCCATTTTCAAGTCACTGAATAAGGACAAAATCATTGTTTGCTTTACGTGCCTGTTCAGGGGAGTGAGTGGAGAGAAAGTGTCCCCCTTCTCTTTTGCATGGGCTAAATGTTTCAGAGTACAGTGCAGAAAACAGCCTCTGGAGGACCAATATCCCATGTCCTACTCACAGGTGTGGGGCAAAAGTGGGGACTGGGTGGAGCCGTGTTGCCATGCACCCTCAATGTGCCTGCTGGTGTAGTTGCATTTATGCAGAAGAGCGGGTAGTAATCTGCTACTGATCTAAACAAGTGGGAATCCAGGAAATGAATTTCAGAGTAGCAGCCGTGTCAGTCTGTATTCGCAAAAAGAAAAGGAGTACTAGTTGGTTAGTCTCTAAGGTGCCACTAGTATCCTTTTCTTTTTAGGAAATGAATTGTGACTCTCGGTCACAATTTGTTCCCAGGTCTACTCCTGGGGCAGCATAGCTATATGCTGCCCTTTACTCAAGACATATTGTAAAGTCACAGTCTAGCCTTAGTCCTTATGAAAAAATAACAGTTCTCTCATGCTTGGCTTAATTGCGGAAGCAATAATTTGTGCATGAAAAATGTGCCATTTCAATCCAACTATCTCAGATGTTTTGATTTCAGTTCATTAGATAGCTGCAATATGTTATCACAACGAATGTAGAGGAGCAACTTCCTGCATCCCTTCTATATTTGTTCATTCTCATCTAATTGCTGAAATTTCAAGGACCTGAAACTTTCAAAATTACAGCTGGGTTTATTTTACTGCCCCGAAAATACTGAAAATGAGTGCAGTTCAGTGACTGTGATGCCTTCAAAAAACAACCATTGAAAAGCTGGTTGCTATGCAACCCACAGTATTGTCTGTATTACCCTCACCAACAGATGACATATTGTATAAAATAAAATAAACCTTTTTAAAAAACAATACAGTGAAAGGCTGTTTGGGGGTGGGTGGTACTTGCAATAACTCACAACTGTGTCACAACCTCAAAGGAAAAACAGTGCATCACTCATCCATGCCCCATCTATTATGGAACCCCAATGTAATTATTATGATTATTTATCATGCTGGTGATCTATATACCAAATTACGCTGAATGAAGCAAGCAAACCTTAAGGTACCCACTGGAAGGTTTCTAAAGCAATACTTTACTCAAACAAGATTACGTGGTGATATTTTCACATAGTGAAGCCAAACAGGCCATTTTACTCTTGCATTGTTTTAACTTGCGCACATCCCTTTAGTTCTAAAACTGCTTCTGCTGGCACAACTTTAGAAGCCTCTTTCCCACCCCCCCACAGAACAGATTAAAAAGGCAGGGGCAGTACAATGTCCTTTCCCTAACAACCCTATTCTGAAGAGAAATCTGGGCCTGGTTCTCATTTACACTGAGACTCCTTTACACTGCTCTAGGTAATGGGGCCTCAAAGTAGGGGGTAAATTACAATTATATAAAATTACACTTATTTAAAGCCCCCTTTACACTTTCAGAATGGTGCAAAGAGGCTGGAGTGTAAATGAGAACCAGGTCCAAAACCTCTGGAAGTGAGAGCGGAGCTCAGTCTCTATGCTCATTCAGGATCAGATTCTGATACCCAAATGGTACCTTACTCCACACACAATTCTGTTGAAATCAGTGGGGCTACTCGCAGACTAAGATGCTACCCATTGGGTATCAGAATCCAGCTCCGGGTTACTCACTACTGAGCCTGCCAATAAAAGGAGCGGTTGGCGCTAACTGCAATGGTCATTTTTGTAATGTGATCATATGCCCATTGGAAACTTGACTGGGATCACCTGCTCCTTTCACACAGGCCAAACAGCCATTACAGAGTGAATGTTTTCATCCTCTGCTAACCTAGTTGGGATGCAAACTAGTGACACGGAAGCACACTGCTTTCTATACAGGTCTGCAGTATCAGTGAGATGCAAATTATTAATGAACAATATTTTTTGTTTAGATTTTTTCCCCTCTTTTCTTCTTGAAAAACAACCCACCCTCTTCTTGGAACGCAAACAAGAATCGGAAAGTGGAATTGGGATCTACTGTACTTACTGTATTTCAGCAGATAAACCAGCAGAAGTTGCAAGATATTAGATTATTATAGATGTATAACTATACAGAGATAGACATAGCAATGCATACATTTAATACATGGGCATTACAAAACAAGGCATCTGATTGACTGATAAAGGTTCCTGCTGCATGGGTATCTTCTACCACCCCAACTTGAGAATTATTAGCCTGTTTACATTCTCTCAATTATTATCCATATAACAATTATTAAGTTATTTCCCCTATTTTAACCCAACTTTCTAAATATACACACTATGAACGCTGGGCCATAGAATGGCAGATACAAACACTTTCCCCACACTCCTTTCCTTATCTTAGCATTTATATATCACTTTATATCTCCAAAACACATCACCCTGTGAGGCAGGCAAGAAAGTATTACTATCTTCAATTTACAGAAAAGGAAGCTCAGACAGAAAGGTCAATTGACTAACCCAAGGCCACGTGGTGAGTCAGCAGCAGAGCCTGGATTAGAACTCAGGGCCTCCTGACTCTCAGCAAAGAGCTGGTGTTGTGCCAAATCTTCAGCTATGGTAACTCAGTGCAAGTCTGTTGACTTCACTGGAGCTACACCCATTTATACCAGCTGAACTGACTCTCTATTGTTTATGGTTACCATTTAGGCCACTTGCATGTCTAAATACTTAGCTGACTCTGCAAATCAGGTACGACTCATGAATGTCCAAATGACAGTAACTGTAGTCACAAAAAGGCAAGCTAGATCATAAAAATATTTTCACTTGAATAGTTGCAGGTGCTGCTGTACCTAAGAGGAATTGGTAGGGCTTGTCCTCATTCAATGAATGTTATAAACATGCTTATAACTCTCCTCCAGTTTCCAAGGAATTAGAAGTTGCTCAGACAAAACTGGGGTAAAAGTACTAAAGGCTTTAAAGTAATCCCACTTTCAAAATCACTCATCATTTCAATGTTCTTTACAGGAGTGTTGCTTGTAAACTGACCCATTCCACAGAAACAGCAACAGAACTGTAGAAAATAAAAAAAAACCCTTGTAATTCTTAATTTTGATTTGATTCTGCAAAGTGCAAGACACTCTGGCCCCAATCCAACAAAGCAAATGCTTAACTTTAAACATGTGTCGTCCAACTTTACTTAAGTACAAGCTTAAGGGATTTGCTGGATCAGAGCCATTGTGCTCAGCAGAACTGAGCCCACAATGCACTTACTGTATGGTAATATAACTGGGAGGGATAGCTCAGTGGTTTGAACATTGGCCTGCTAAACCCAGGGTTGTGAGTTCAATCCTTGAGGGGGCCATTTAGGGACCTGGGGCAAAAATTGGGAACTGGTCCTGCTTTGAGTATGGGTTTGGACTAGATGACCTCCTGAGGTCCCTTCCAACCTTGATATTCTATGATACACACAGTCACGTGTTACTGCTTTCTTATGCATGTATAACATACACAGTATATATCATACCCCTCTAGTGGCCAAAAGGGTCAATACCCATGAAATTTGCCATAAGTTATCTAGAACAAACTTGAAATAATACTGCCAAAGCAAAGCGGTAACTTAAAGTGACATAATAAGAGAAAACACAACAGGAAATTTTATGTTACAGTTATTTTCCAGCATGCATTTCATATAATAAACAAACAAGTGTAGATGTAAATTACATATTATACATTAATGCTATATTAATAGACAATGAACAAATTAAAATAGAGTAGTATATGTCACAAATGAATTACACAGTTCATTAAAAGAATCCCGGAAACATCTAGATCCATTATTAAAATTAGCCTTTACTTACTTTCCCATAGCTCAGCATGATTATCCTCACCAAAACAACATTAATGTGGGCACCTAAGGACTCGTCATGGTAGATTTCATTCACCTGCAAAAGAGTGTAGATATTTTTAATAATGATTCTGTCAATAAGTAATCACAGTAACAACCATAAAACATGAGCTTTTTATATATTGTGTCTTTAAGATACAGATCAACCACACTCATTTGTAAAAAAGGGGCACTTCCACTACTTGAAAGAGAACTTTTTCTATGTGAACTACAGGGCTCTACCATAAAGGCTCCATATAGGCATCAAATCAGAAACCATCTTTGTTCAGGAACCAATTAAAGTCAGTGAAACTTAAACAGTGCTTCCCTAAATCACAGACTAAAGTACTAAAATACTCTCAAGGATGATATCCTTATAAAGCAGTCAATCAAATGAGTTGTTTTTATTGTGTCAAAATTAACTTAAAACTATACAAGCGTAACAAAATCTGTAAAATACTAACACAGAAAACAGGGGGTTTTGTATTATACATACATAGAATAGTTTGCTTGTGTGTATGTATGATTAACTGCAATGAAGCCAACGCTATGGATATTATAACGGAGAATGAACTACAGAAGTCCAAGGAATACAGAAGAAATAATACTATAAGCAAGCTGGGCAAAATATTAGCTATTAAAAGAGCTGATTGGGTTCATCTATGATGGGAGGAATGAAAGAAGGCCAACTTAGGGTCTTATAAATATGTTTGGTTTTTTGCTTTACAAATTAGAATAAGTAGATAAATAAATATCTGCAAGGAAAATATATTCTCTGCTCCCTTTCCTTCAGATCATTAGTGCCCCTAGTAAATGGGCCAAAACTGGACTATTTTATGTGTGGGACATAAAGAATAGCTCATATTTCATGGTGTGTTTCTGACATAAGAAACATTCACTGGGATACGTTATTAAGCTTCTGGAGAGTTGTTTATTAAAAACAAGATCAATACACTCCTATTTTTTCAATATATCTTTGTCCCAAAGGGACCATATAAAATATAACTCACTTCTGATCTCTCTGTAAAAATCACGTACTATTTCACAAAAATTTCTTTGACTGTTATTTGAAAGTATATTTTAAACATTTGGTCTAGATTTTCAAAAATACAAGCCTAAATTTGCTTCTAAATTCACATTTGGGCACCTAAAAAGAGGCTTGATTTTCAAAAGTAGTGATCACGCTGAAGTTCCCAATGAAGGCAGTGACAGTTACTTAGTCCTTGGTGCTTTTGAAAGTTAGGTTAATTATTTATGTGCCTAAATGTGAATTTAGAACCCTAACTTTAGGCTCCTATGTTTGAAATATCTTCATCTTTCCTCTCAGGGACTTTTAAAACAGCAGATTAACATACTGAAGGATTTACATATACACTTGTTTAAAATAAATTATGTGTTAAAAGGAAAGTTTTGTGCTGACAAGGACATTTCATTGTGTTCTTTATTAGATGCCCCACAACTCAAGAGTATTATCATCTTGATGCAGGGATGCTAATCTGCCTGATTCTCTGTGCATTGGGATAAGAATATATGCCTCATTGATAACGAGCTGAAATTTGCAGTAACTTAAATATACATAAAATAAACACTGAATAAAATCTTCGGTGTATAGGAAATAATAAGCATGACATGTAACTAAGGTGTTTTATTAGTTCGTGAGGTATAACCCCAATTGTTACACACTCCTTTCCCATTAGCCTTCAGAACTTAACCTCCGCCTTTTTTAACAATAGTGAAGCAATACATCAAGTGTATCATTACTACATGCCAAATTAAAACTTGGCAGGAATACGATGACAGAACGGTATTGAAACATTGTTACACAGTTCACCCAACTGACATCTAAGAAACACATTTTATGAATGACTAGAAAAACATAAACATTGTAAAAGTTCCTTGGCATCTGTGTAGTAGGTTTTCTCTCAAATATAGGGCCAAATCAAAGCCCAGGGTCCAAATGTCATATCTAGGGATTGATTCAGCTCCAATGCAATACTCCTTCTGTGGGAGCTGGACCCTCTGGCTCTTTCACTGGGCGAAACTGGCTCTATAAAGCAGTACTTTGTTAGGGTGCTCTATGAGCAACCCAGGAAAAGGATTGAGAGTCAGATTTTGATTCTTTTAATGTTATATTTTATCATCATTTTAAATGGAATATAAAATAAATTTCAAAACAATAAGTTACTTCAAAAAAAATATTAAAATGCTCCATTCCAGTAAGGTTGAAACTTTTTTTTAAAACAAAATTTCATCAAAAATTACACATTCCCATGGAAAGTTTTGATTTTGACAAAATGGCATTTTCCAATGGAAAAATATTCGGACAGAAATGTCCTGACTAGCTCTACTATTAATCATTTCTTTGCATTTAATTTCCTTGGTTATTTAAAATGGGGGGAAAGCATACGATAACACACTGAAATAGATTCACACTTATTTCAGTGTGTGAAGTGAATGGCATCTGTTTGTTTCAATGTGCTATTAAAGAAAGGAGATCCAAGTGACTGAGCTCTGAAATGGATGCGCTCAAATGTGCATGAGAATTATCCCTTGAAACAGAATATTACCAGTAGAACAATGGAATTTTAAAGCCCCAGATCTGTGGTGTTTTTCCTCAAACATATAGCTTCTGCATTAAAAGCAGATCTATTTACTTCAGTGTACAGATAGCCCGATACAAAAAAATGCAAGTGTCTAGAGTAAGAGATGTAGTGCTGATTCTGATTTCATCCTAATTATTCAGCAGTGTAACTCCAGTTACTTCAGTGGTGATACCCTGGTTTACACCACTCTAAGAGATATCAGAACTGAGCTTCCTGTTTGTCCTTAATCCGTGAGGGTAGGATTCTAATGTTATGCTGGTGCACAGGAAAGCAGAGCACACAAAAAGGCTCTCAAAACTGCAGCTCCTGCACTCTGCGAAGAGCAGATTTTGCATCAAGTCTCATGAGATGTCACCTGGTGATTCAGCATTTACAGAGGGTGTCTAGTAGGGCTGGGGGAATCTAAAAGAGTTCAAGGTTTGGAAAAGTATTTTGAGGGGTTGGCAAAACTATTGTAGATCAGACCATTTTTTCCTGTAATTTAATTCCATGGTTTATTTTCACAATGTTTTAATTAAAAACTATGCTGGAGGCTGCCGGAGGGCCTCACTCTTGAGGTGGGGGGCAGTGTCCACTCCCTGTCACTGTGGCAGGGCAGCTGGCTCAGGCCAAGATTGCAGTGCCAGTAGTCAATCAGTGCCTCCCTGCCTCTCCCCATCCCCAGTCCTGGGAGCCAGGGCTTGGGTGGGTGGGATCCGGCAGCTGCAAGTGCAGGGAGGGACCCATTGGGATGCGGAGCCAGTTCTTTCTGAGATGCTACGTCTTCTTCATACAAATACTGGACATTTCCTCTAATTTGAAAAATCTGCGTGGACAGAGGAAATGTCTGGGAAAACCTGGACGTATGGTAACCCTAGCTGTGAGGGACACATTATGCTTTGTGTATATTAGGTTTGAGAAACATTAATGTGTTTTTAAAGTGCCTGCCACAATGGGACCCCGATCATTACTGGGGCTTTTGGGCATTATTACGATACAAATAATAATAATAGCCCTTGTACTTTTGCAGGTGTTATCAGAGGTAAGTTACCCGCAGATAAATTTGACAGGATCTGTAGAAAACGGTGAGTGGTTTTCTGTATTACGCCACTCTTAATAAAAGCAACCACAGTGAGGAAAAAGTCACAGGTGGACTCATTTATGCAGTTGTATGAAGTTTCCTGGCATAGGATCTTTATTAATGCTTGTTATGCAATGGGCAGTCTGCTTTACTAAAAGTCACTGCTTCTGATTTCAGAGGAATTTCAAGGAACCTAATGGTAGCAACGGTCATGTAATAAACAATGTGACTATTAGCCCTGTTGTGCTATTAGCCATTTCAAACCGAGTTTTGAAGCATGCCCTTTGTCGTACATGTACAATATCACACAGTTGTATAACACCTGCTTTCTCAAATTCATTTAAAATGGGCCACCAAGAGCCCTCAGTCACAATCTCTAGCTACAAGAAACCTGAACTGGATTTGAATCAGCTACAAAGGATATCAAAGCTCATGGACCTAAGCCATCTTTAGGGCACAATGCAAGATGCAGCTTTTTCATCTGACATTTCAGCTACCACAATTTGTTGATCCATCCAGTCCACTCAAACATCTTTATGATCACTGAAAAGTATTGATACAAAAACCTCTTATTGCTGAAGTTTTCCCTATTCATTATCTTTGGGGGACTGGGCAGAAGCCTGGAGGAGAGGGGAAGAAAGAGGTCAGATAGACTCATAAACGTAAGGTCAGAAGGGACCATCATGATCATCTATTCTGACCTACTGCACATTTCAGGCCACAGAACCTTGCCCACTCACTCCTGTAATAGACTCCTAACCTCTGGCTGAGTTACTGAAGTCCTCAAATCATGATTTAAAGATGTCAATGTTGTATCAGTTGCAGTGGGGAGGTTGCCTTCTACTCCATGCTCTTCCTCAGGTGGGACATCAGAAGTCCTATCAAGCCATTTATAGGACACTGAGATGCAGCTGATTCATCTGGCTTTTTAGTTGTATGACTGTTGCCAACAGCAGACATAAAGTGGCTGGGGGGCAATCCATTTATTGCCTATTTGGGTACAGCATTAATACCTGTTTTTTATTTTGTAACGTTAAGCAGAAACCATGGTGGAGGGCATGGCCACTCAAATCTCTGTAGTCCAAAAACCTCCCCAAAAGAAAAATCCCCCTCCCACAACAGCCACATAATTGTTCTAGTCTCTTTCTCCAAGCAGTACCATCAGCATTACACACATTTCCTTGCAGGGTAACCCAAGAGACAGTGAGATTCAATGACTTCCCCTATGGTCACACAGCAAGTCTGTGGACACTACCCATGAATCAGGACTCCCAGCCCCCTTTTCTAATCACCAAATGACACTTTTTCATTTCCCCTGTGAAGGAACCCTTCCTCTTGCAAGTCTTTATTCAGTGTCATGAGGAAAAATAATAATGAGAGCACACAGTCTAGACA